TTGCTGAATAAATAGTTACAAACTATTAAGAATGTTGTTATGTTTAAATGCTATGACTACAGAAACAAATCACTGTCTAACTTAATCTAATAAAACTTGATACTTTTGTTTAGTGCAAAGTAAAATTAATTAGTAATTCCGTCGATATGGGATTAACAAAGAGCAATCTTGTAATTATATTTATTACCTTTTTGTAGTAATATATAATATGTGATTAGGTACAGATTTAACAAGACTGGTATGCCAATAAACAATAACTAAATATGCGATACTCGTTTTGTAACAAATGCGTTTTATGTAGGTATTGTTGTCTGTTAGTCTAACTGAATATACGTATACTGCAATTTCACTTTTCGTTTTTGAGCATTTTAGATTCTAAGCGGTCGTGTGGTGCAATGAATATATTTATTTTACAATGATGTGTGTTTTTTTATTTATTTGTATCTGTAAACACGAAAATTAGTCGAAATAATGCTTCGATTTTCAATTTTAGTAGTTTTTCCGATGGAAAAGTGAAACTAGTTGATGCATTGAAGTGGTCAAAATTCCTATAGATATATTATAATATTATATACATTATACACACGTTATTATGTCCTATACAAGGTTCAATAAAGAGTGGTCGAACTTTAACTATAGTTACAGAAATTATTGCGGTCAGTTTTTATGACTACAAGTTATGCGATTAAATTATAGGTAGATATAATGATATCACTTTTTGCTTAGGAGTATAATGTTATATTCAGATGTTGTTTTAATTCTCAGCTATTGCATATATTCGATTCAATATCTATTTGAAGAAGAATCATTTTAAAATTTGTCGATAAATTTCTATGTTTATTARAGGTATTTAATTTAAAAAAATTATCATGTATCGATTTAATACATWTGTTAAACGTATTTAATATTTTTCAAATTCTTGCGTTAATCACTTCACCACATCGAATAATGCCTTGCTGAATCTCACTTATTAATCCACTATGCACTTGAGACTGTATGATATWAGTTGAGAGGTTTGATAGATAAGTACACATTTTTCAATAAATTTCAAAATCAACATTTAATCCATATTATTTCGACTAGTTATGCTGTACAGTGTACACAGACACACACACACACACACACACAAAAAACACACACACATCATTGTAAAATCAAAACATTCATCACTCCGTTCAGAATCCCAAAAATAAAAATAAAATAATAAAAACACACATCATGGTAAAATCAA